CGTCTCCGCGCCATTCGACGGCTTGTCTCTGAGGTTGAGAAAGGGCAGATCAACACCACGAACATCGTGGAGATCTTTATCCCTCTGTTGGAGATGTTTGTCTATGACACAGGCACGGATGAATCGGCCCAGAGCGCGAAAGGCCAAAGTATCACTGCGATAGGCACTCTTCTTCAATGGATCGACTGGAAACACTTCAAGGTGCTGTTCCGCCGGTACAAGAATGACCTCGACGTAACCGGCAGTGAGCAAAAGGCAACCAATCGACTTCTTGCGCATGCCACTGATGCGTTGTTGTCCGCGAATAGCCCTCGTAGAGAAGACTCTGAACTAGAACAAGGTCAACTGATATTTCGGCTGGCAGAATCGCTTCCGGAGAAAGGTATTGTGGAGCAGGAGTTGAAGCTTCACTTCATACCCAAACTTGCAGAGCTTGTCCATTATAAAGACGAAGCTGAGATAAGTTTTCGTCTACCTATCGCGGTCATCGCGGTCAGGCTCATCACTCTGCTACCACCGCACGAGATTCCAGTTGCCGCTGCGCCGGTAACACTCGATATCGCCCAGATCCTCAGAAGCCGGGCTCAAGAGTCCCGCGACGCTGCGCGCAAGGCACTCTGCGAGGTTGTCCTTGTGCTCGGTCCCAGCAGTTTGCAATTCGTACTCAAAGAAATGCGCACAGCCCTCACAAGAGGGTATCAACTACACGTGGTTTCCTACACCCTCCATGCAATTCTGGTAGCTCTGGTTCCTCAAATCAAACACGGTGATCTGGACTATTGCGGCGAAGACCTTGTATCTGTCATTATGGATGACATTTTCGGGGCCGTGGGGGAAGAAAAGGACAACCAGGATTACACTAGCAGCATGAAGGAAGTCAAAAGTAGCAAGAGTTTCGATTCGATGGAACTCTTAGCACGATCGATAAGCGTACCCTCCGTGTCCAAGCTCGTCGCACCAGTTCAGACGCTGTTGTCGGGTACGCTGACGGCAAAGCAAGTGCGGCAGGTTGATGAACTTCTTCGGAGGATTGGCAGCGGTCTTTCACAGAACCCGTCTGCCAACAAGCGAGATGTCTTGACATTCGCATACCAGTTGATTCAATCACTGTACCGACAAGAAGAGAGCGGTCAGGTCCAAGTGTATACCAATGACGAGAAGAACCGGCAGAGATATCTCGTTCAATTATCATCAGCAAGTGAAACCACTCAGAGCCGCAGTTCGGCCTTGTTGCACAAGCTTGCTAAATTCGCACTAGACTTAGTGAGGTCTACGCTGCAAAGATTTGCTGAGGTTCTGACAGTCGAGAATCTACATGGCTTTCTTCCCATTGTTGGCGACGCTCTAGTCGAAGGTCAAGAGGATGTCAAGATTTCCGCATTGCGTTTGTTGTCTGCCATCATCAAACTCCCAATGCCTGAACTTGAACAAAACTTACCCCTGTATATTAGCGAGGCTGTCAAGGTCGTGAGAATCTCGCCAAGTACCAACGAAGAAGGGGCTCAGGCTGCGCTGAAACTGATGGCTGCTGTTCTCCGTGAGCGCAAGAGCATCAAGGTCAAAGAATCAGATATCGCCGAGCTTCTTCAACGTGTCGCCCCGGACATCGAAGCACCCGACAGGCAAGGGGTTACGTTCAACTTCATCCGGGCAGTCATGGGAAGGAAGATTCAGTTGCCCGAAGTCTACAACCTGGCGGACAAGATCGGTGTTATGATGGTCACGAATCAAACAAAAGAAGCACGAGATATTGCGAGAGGGGTCTTTGTCCATTTCTTGGTTGAGTATCCGCAAAGCTCTTCGAGATGGTCGAAACAACAGAAATTTCTGATGAAGAATCTCCAATATGAGTATCCTGACGGTAGACAATCTGTGATGGAAGCCATCAATATCTTGATTGGGAAGATCAAAGGGCAAATCGCACAGGAACTGATCTCGGCGTTCTTTCTCCCAATCCTCCTTCGAATTGTAAATGACGACAATGAAACCTGTCGACAGCTTGCTGGAGCTCTACTGGGCCGACTTTTCTCCCTAGCAGACCGGGGCCACCTGAACAATATGATTGAACCCCTCAACAACTTGATCGATCAAGAGGAAAACAGCGCATTAAAGAAACTGAGCATGCAGGCATACGCTATCCTCTTAGATACGGATGTGTCATTAACTGGAGAAGAAGTTAACAAAATTCGAAGCAACATTGCCACATGTCTCGAAGCAACAAGCGTGACCGACAAGGACGAATGGGAGCTTCACTTCCAGGCGCTGCTGCTCCTGTTGAAGTTGGCACAGTCGTATCCAGGCACAGTATTGACTCAGAAGCAGGCATCTTTGTGGTCGCATGTGTGGACATCATTGATCCACTCCAACCCATGGATACAAAGCACTTCAGCAGACTTGACTATTCAGTTCTTGGGCCAATGCATTTCGTCGAGGGGTTCGAGGCTTCCGCTAACCTGTGAGCATGGCCTTTCCATGGATTCAGAGGGACTGCTCGGGATCTTAAAAGCTAGCACTCGGATCTTGCGTCGTACAACCGGCAATGAGGACCTCAGCGCACAAATGGAGCAGATTCTTTTATTTCTGGGCCCATGCTTGGAGGAAAACTTGCTGTCGATTGAGGTTAACCAGAACCCCGGCGACGTGGGAGAGTTTGAAGGAGAGGATAGAGCCATCTCCGGAGGGAAGACTAGAAGAATTCCAGCCACCCAATATCTCCTTGATCAACTTGCACGCACTCTCCGCACGGAACCGGCAGCACTGACATCCCCGGCACTACTCCCCAAGAAGTCGTCGCTGCGGCTCCTCTCAAATCTCATCCCAATTCTCTCGGTAACCAATCTACCAAATTCGCAAATCAGAGCCATTATGGTGTCACTTCAGCATATGACTGACACTAACACAATCCGCCCTCGGTCGGCAGACCCGACTTTTGGTGCCGCGTATCAGAATCTCGTCGAGCTCGCCCATACTGTAATGGCAAGGCTGCAGAAGAAACTCGGAGATGTAGAGTACGTCAGGGCGGTGACAGAGGCAAGCAAGATCATGCGTCAGAGGAGGGAGGAGAGAAGAACCAAACGACGAGTTGATCGGGTAGCGGAGCCGGAAAAGGCGGCGAGAGACAAGAAGAGGAAGACCGACCGGAAAAAGGAGAGGCTGAGGGAAATAGGCAGAGCGCACCAGAAAAGAAGGAGGGAGACTGGCATGTCATGAAACAATGTCTTGCCCGTGCATGATGTGATTTTCAGCATCGCAAGGTCTGATTCTCGCAGCGGCATAGGGCCGGAGTTCATTGGAACATATTCATTTGAGAACAGGAACAAGAATCTTGGTCCCGGTGACGCCCTGTTCCATCTCCCTTCGCGGGGATCAATCCTTCCGTCCACCACTGACGGTTCATTATCCTTGTTGAGGCCTTTTGCACCCGATACATCCCTCCTTCTCAACCGTTGACGCTAGCTGACCGGGGAATATCTGTGCCTACAGCAGCGGTGGCGCCCGCATCGACAGGCAAAATCAAGCCGGTAATCCATCTCGCCTCGGGCCCTGCCAGGAATCGCACGGCACAGCCCACATCCCATCCATTGCCCTCGGTTTTGAGCAGGCTGCGGTTCTTGCGGGCCTCGCGGGCCTCGTCACTCATGCCTCCCCCGTACATCATCGGGGTGTACACCATGCCTGGGCAGACGCAATTGACTCGGATGCCCTGGGGGGCGTGGTGCGCCGCCATCGCGCGTGTCATGTTGACGACGGCGCCCTTGCTGGTCGGGTAGAGCAGGTGTGGTGTCCCGCCGCGGATCCCGGCCACGCTGCCCATGTTGATGATGCTGCCTCTGTAGCCCCAGTCGTTGTCGTTGTGGACCATGGCAGGGATCGCGTACTTGGCCATCATGACCATGCTCGACACGTTGATCTCCATCGACTTTGCCCACGCCGCCATGTCGACCTCGACCGCTGTCCCCGGAGCCCCGCCGACGCCCACGCAGTTGAACAGGATGTCTAGCCTGCCGAAGCTGTCCATCACCGCCTGCACGACGCCCCGGCATTGCGCCTCGTCGGTCACATCAGCCTGGAAGGCTCGCGCGGAGCCTGGGCACGCGCTGCCCCCATTCTCGCGGATCATTTCGACGGTGCGTTCCGCTAGCGCCAGGTCGCGGTCCACGCAGAGCACAGCGCAGCCTACGTCGGCGAGGAGGATCGCAGCCGCTCGTCCGTTACCGATGCCGTCGCCTTGGGCGCCCGCGCCCGTCACGATGGCCACTTTGCCCACGAGATCGCGCGGAGGTTTGGGGAAGATGTATGAGTCCATGGGTGTCATTTTCTACCTCTTGTTCTTGTTGTGCGTCTTCCCTCTCTTTAGTTGACACCTTGCGACCACATTCCCTCACGCTGCGCTGGTCCGCCGTCTCGGTGTTTCGCGGCTGGGTTGGGCTGTGTTGGGTTCGGGTGGGGGTGGGGTGCGATGAGATGTCTCAATGCAATGCAGTTGGGTGCGGATGCGTTGAAGTGGATTTGATCATGTAACATGTGAATGTATGTACTTGTATATGTAGAATACATCGGATGTCTCCAACAAGCGCTGCAGGCCTCGGCTCGGGGACGGAAGATGCGAGTCCGCAGCACGTGACCTATATCCGCCTCGGCGCCCAGTCGAATGTCTCCGGGTTGGAAAGATACATGCGCGCTTTGTTCATGTTGATTGCACAGCATCAATGATGGCTTAAGGAGACCCCGATCCCTATTCACCTAGTGAGAGGTGGGTCTCCCTCTCTCTGTGTGTGTCTCCTTCCGCCTCCCACTCCCTCGTCGTGTTGCAAATGCCTTCTGCGTCCTCAAGGTCGATCTCGAACTTCATCCGTCACGCACTCCTCCGCTGCAGTCACCGCAGCCCAAACCTCTGGCAACGTCATCCTGTATCCAAACTCACTCGCTTGATCTCTCTCCCCAGTCGAAGCGCGCTCAAGACGGCAATAGCCCAAAATGGTCAGAAAAATGAGAATATAATGGGCCTGGAGCTGGTTTCGAAGAAGAGTTGGAAGTCACACTTGCAACACACTTGCATCCCGGCATCTGCTCGGAATTGGATATGGCGGCTCTTCTTCATTGCCCCGCCGCTCGCAGTCTTCTTGATGTCGTTTCCATTCACAATCATGCGGGTGCAGGGCGCTTCTATGGCCCCCTTTTTCAATATCAACTCTGCTCCCGACCTCCCACCAACAGCACCAGATATCATTCTCGTGAAAAAGATCAAAGGCATTAAAGCCTTGTCAAATTTGACGGGGTATCGGCTTGACCGACTGAGACTTGAGAGGGGCCAGATCGTTGTCTTTTACGCGCCTCACGACCCCACGAAGTTAGCCGTCAAGCGAGTCATCGGCATCCCTGGAGACAGAATCAAACCTCTCCCCGGATACCCCGGTGGCGACGACCCTGTCATAATACCGTACAATCACGTCTGGGTTGAAGGTGACGCAAACAGCAGGGAAAGATCCATGGACTCAAATTACTTTGGTCCCATAAGTCAGAACATGGTGTTTGGATTGGTCATCGCAGTCCTCACACCATGGACCTCCCCAGTCGCTGTGAACTGGGACGAACACGATTACCCAGCCAAAACTAGTGGGAGGCTGGAAAAGGATGTTGTCCAGCAGGCCAAGTTGGATCCGGATGAGGAGGCTTCTCAAAAGGATAATCCTTTTGCGGATGGACGAGCTGCGATTGAATTGGCCATGATGCGAAAGAACCGAGACCAGCTGGTTACAATGATGAGAGACCGGTCAAAATTCAACCGGTTGAAGGGCATATACGAGCGAGCACAGACGGAGCTACGCAGGGGTAACAAGGAGTCGAGAGAGGTCGCGAGCGAGTTGGTCGAGGAGTTGCAGGTTCTCTTTGAGAGTGTGGGCTTAAACAAGGATGGAAGCCCGATCCCTCCGGCAATGGGGAGCTTGGGGCAGGGCGGAGAAAATGAGCAGCAGGATTTGGAAAGACAGAAAAGATTGAAGGTTTACCTGGCAAGGCAACACCAGCATTCGAACGAAGGCATCGAATCTTAGTGATGTCATATTGAGTATTTGAATATCACTTTGCGCATGTCTTGATCAGCTCCATCTCTTGGGACTTGGGAGCATTACAAGACATCAGGGCACTCGAAGGCAACAGGTGGCCGAGATGAATGAGGAAGGAATATATGTGTGCACCATCAGCGAGTCTGGCCAGTTGAAGCCTCTGCCCACAAACCTTGTGGTTCTGCTCTGCTGCGGATTGCCTTTCTCTGCTGCTGTCGCCCCTACTTTTTGGGAAGCTGGCCAGTTTCAGCGTTTTCTTGTCGTGGTTTTTTCTTTCCAATGTATCTGACAAAAGGTCCAGTGATTCCCCGTCTACCACTTCGCATCGTTGCTGGCCAAAAAGGCCTTCAAAATGGCCACTCTAGCCTCCAAAGCCGCCACCCACTTTTCGAGCGCCTCCCTGGTAGTCTCGGGATCTGTTCCCTCACCGCCCAATCGCACATAGAAATCTTTCCTGTAGGGCGTGGCACTCATGGCAGCACTGAAGATAGGTTTGATCATAAAGCCATGATATGGAGCCAAAGTGTTCTTGTAGCTCGCTCTAAATCCATCCGCGAGCTCCTTGTTCGGCTTTGGCTCCACAGCTTTCACAGAAGCGTTGGTGGTGAGATCGGCCCGGAGCGCTTGTGCTGTGAAATCCAACCCACGAGTCAGCCAAACCAGCCCTTCGGTGGCCTTGTGAGTCTTCGAGGCCAGCTCTGTCTTGACTAGCAGTTGGACTGTAGTTGAAACCTCTGGGGCAGCTCTATGTCGATCGCGGATTTTCGCGACGTTGCCCATCATATCGTTTTTGACGGGGGTAAAAGCTACCGAGCCTAGAAGGTCGAAGAGGGTGGTGGTGGCTTCAGAGGCATCGAGGAATTCAAGGGTGGAAATGCCGCCGTCGTCAGATATGGGGACGTCGTCAAAGTGCACTTTGTGTGTGTCGAACCAGGTTTTGCCCGGTGGGATTTGAGTGCCAGACATTGTTGAAAATCAAAGTATGATCCGATTCAACAGTGTCGGTATGAGGGAGGGCAAGGCAAGGACAATTTAAAAGGGGATGGAAGTGACGGTGAAGGCTTGTTTGAGGGGCGCATGCTGGAATTCGGGGGCCGCAGGAAGGTGCAAACAAGGCAAACACCCCAGACCGACTAAGAATACGTGTTAGCTACTGATCGTCATTGACGTCATTGGATCGCAATATTCAGCTGTGCCTGCACAAACAGCCCTCTGTCTCCTTTGGAGCTTGAGGACTAGATTTCCCGGAACGGCTTAATGAGTATGCCTACAAAGTTGTCATTGGAACCTGTATCATAGCACAAAGAAGATGTCAACCTCCCGAGTGATGCCAATTGGCACCGCTGCCAGCCCCTACGACTTCGATGCCCTCGACCCCGACTCGTACACCGCCCACCGACTCAAACACGCCTTTCCAGAGCATCTTCATCTCACTTCCCGCCGCTTCTTCATAGGTCCAATCCCCGAAGGATGGCTCAACAGCCACCGGAAGGAATGGTACAGGCGCAGAATCCAATTGAGCACGTATTCTTCCCGAAGAGTGAGCTTTCGCGCCGCCACAGACCAGGACCCCCATCATCGGACTTGGACTAGTCTTGAAGGTCCTTCGACCGCTGCCAGGGTGAGCTTCAGTTTTCCTCAGCCCGAAGATGTCTTGGATCGAGATTCAAGAGCAGACGAGACCACAGATGCCGAAGAAGAGGACCAAGAGGAAGATGAAGTGCTGGTTGAGCCAAGAGATATAGAGCCGGTGTCGACAAATGATGTGCCCCGTATCCGGAGGATCGATGGCGAAAATGAGCAGGGTGATAGAGTTCTCAAGTCTCCGCCAGTCCCTACGGACAGAGGCACGGACGGTGCCAGCGACAACGCCAAACCTCGGCCGAGCGCACTAAAGTCTCCAAAACCCGAATCATACACAACTGCCCATGAAAATCCGTTTGGAGATTCGGAAGCGGCCACACCTGTGGTCAATCCTCAATGCTCAGAACATGACACCGACCGTGCTGAAAGTGTCGAGCAACGCTTCAAGAGGAGCTCCGTGCAGCCATCAGCATCGACCGAAGACAATGTGGAAACTAACTCCAGGACGGCTCTCCTGGGGGGTGATCGTTCAAAACCGGACGCAAAATCTCTCCGGCGTCATGAACCTGCCCCTTTAGATGATGACCAGACTTATCACCTCGGACGGACGAGCACAGGTGTCAGGTTCAAAGTCTCGGAAGGAGTTCAACGAGGTCAACAGAAGATGGTCAACAAAGCTATTCGAGTGCAAGACCGTGTTGTCAACCGGAGATTAAGACGCAATACTCTCCGAGAGGGGACTGTCGTCAAAATGGAACGCATGTTGGTTCGAGTGGATACGAGCCTGCAACAAGTTCCGGAAGATTTTGATGAGAACGAGAGCATCAAGGTCGAGACAAGGATACTAGAGAAATGGCGAGAGTTCATGGTCGTGGCCAGAAAGAGCAAGAAGCAGGACGTCGACGATTACAGGCTTCAAATTTACAAAACTCGAGTTATCCCGGAGATTGACGACGAGTCAACCAAAAAGAAACCAAAACATGAGATCAGACTCGATCCCAAGACGACAAGAGTCAATTTGTACTCTTCCCTCGATAAAACCGTCGTTATCTGGCATCCATATAGAAAAGGGACGAGAATCATTGTGATGAGGCCACGTTCCCAGGCACATTCTGTGGAGTGGTACACTTTCCTTAGAGACGCTCTTGGCTGGGAACGGCCTTCGACGCTTCAAGTCAATGTCCCGGACCTGGATGTAACGTTGCGACTGGAGAGGCCGTTTGAAGGACTTGAAGCAGCTGGAGTAGATGCAGCAGACGAGGCGACGGCCCTGGCTCGAACGGTTGCCGCAGAGAAAGCCGTAGCCGGGAAGATCATATCCGAGTGCATCGCCATGTTGGAACGCGACCCTGAATGGTCGAACGTCTTGAATGTCTGGAGCGAGACAGCCAAGATGGGTCTCGCGTGGAAGAGGTACGACCGGCTTGAATGGGTATATGGGGCCAACGAGCAGAAGATGTATGGCTCCATGGCAATGGCCCGATCCCATGATTTGGAATTGCGACCGAAAGAGCACTACCCTACCTCGACATACGGCAGAAAGGGGAATCATCACGAGGAACCACCGCCAATTGAAGGGTTCTTGATTCGGTTGACGTCACAGAAAGGGGTACACAAAAGAATGGGTAAGGCATTCTTCAAGCGGTTATATTTCTCCACGCACAATCAGTTTTTGATGTTCAGCCGACCAGCAAAGGCTACTCCGCCTCATCCACCTCGACTCGCGACAAACGATGGGAGCACTGTTCCTTCGGCACAGGAAATCGTTGAAAAGACGCCACTGATGTACGGCATCGAGCCTTACAAATTAAGCAACGGCCATATTTCGTGGCTATCCTCGGGCAATCGGATGACTTTGCAGAGCCGTGACCGTGATGCTGTCGAAGAGGCTCGGCGGAATGTGGCAAACATCTTGGAAGCGGACGGGTATATCGACATGTGCAACATCCGACATGTGCGTACCATAAGATGGGGTGCCTCGCCCGTTGACGAGGTGCTTGAGACTGGATCCGGTTCGGACGTCGATTTCCACCAGGAGGTTGCTGATACCAGGCACGAGGACGGATCGACGCAGGAAATCGACGACGATCGAGTCTTTGAGCTTGTCCTCGGCAACGGATTGGTCGTTCGTCTGCAAGCATACTCGAAGCAGACACGCCACGAGTGGGTCCAGCGCATGAAAGATTTGGTGAAATACTGGAAACTTCGGACGGCCGCCGAGATGGACACCTTCAAAGCCATACGAAAAGCCAACCTCGAACAGCTCAACGTCGACGAAGAAATGGAAGCCATCATCGGTCAATTTGCGAAAAAGTGGGAAGTTAGCCGCAGCGAAGCAAGCCCCGAACTCTACAACATGTGCGCAATAGGCAGTTGTCGCAGCATCACAATTTCCGGCTCCTTGTACCTCAAAACGCGCCGACGAGCTACCTTTCATCGGTGTCAGGTCATTCTCACGGGCGGCAAATTGCTAATTTTCCAATCGGCCTTGCGAAAGAGAACTGGCGAACAAATCCGATTCATCCACCAAGAGAAGCAGCAAGACGTGGATCTGAAAGATTGCTATGTCTACAGTGGTCTGATTGTCGACGATGACCTGCTATACCAGAACCGCACTTTCGATGCGAACCACGCCGGTATGGCCAGCCTGCCTCGGGTGTACCTTGAGGACGGATGGACGAGCGCGGATGTCGATGTTATGACATGTTTCGTGGTGTGGATGAATAGGAGAAAGGGGTGGTTCAAGACATCTAGGAGCAGAGAGGCCGCCAACGACTCTGGTGAAGATAGCGGCCGACCCCGTGGCTGCACGCGAGCGAGGCTTCGTAGAGTGGGCCAGTTGGGCGTGCCGGGGCGAGGAATGGTCTTCAAGTGCCGCAGCCGAGCCGAAAGGGACCACTGGGTGCTGAACATTGCCAGCGAGATTGAGCGTGTTGTTGAGCATGAAGTCGAGGAATTGGGCGACGAGGGCGAATTCCGATTCGACAAATGAGGAGGGGATCTGCTTCAGGCAAGGAAGCATTTCTACGGTAAAAATGTATAGCCGTGGATACAGAGTACCCTGGTATGATGAAGAGAACACATTGTCAAAGCCGTGAGGGTGAGCAAGTCGGCGAGGAGCATATTAGCACCGTAGTTAGCCAATCCTCGCCTCCATCAGCTTCTGGGCGTTGACCAAGCCGTTCAGCTCCATGGTGCGCCACTGAACCGCCTTGCAAAGACCATATAGGCACTTGATCGTCGGCATTGCTATCCCTGCCCTCTCGCCCTCTCTCAGTGCTTCGCCCAGGATGTTCTCGTATTCAATAAACCTCCCCTTGCGCCGATCCTGCAACATGCTTGGGGCACAGAATATCTCCATTGGGTCACAGTCGACCATCGACTCGACCAATGATTCAGGCAGC